CTTCTGCCAGATGGAAGATGGAAGAGATTATGACCCGGGTGGGAGATCTGATCGAGGTGTTCAAAATCTCAAGGGACCTGGGTGGCTCAGTGGTTAGCACTACTGCCTCACGGGGACCCAGGTTCAATCCCACCCTCGGGCGACTCTCTGTGTGGGGGTTTGCACATTGTCCCCACGTCTGCGTGAGTTTCCTCCGGGTGCTCCGGTTTCCTCCCACAGTCCAAAGGTGTGCAGGTTAGGGTGGATTGGCCATGGGAAATTGTCCTGTAGTGTCCAGGAATGTGCAGGCTGAGTGGGTTAGCCATGGGAAATGCGGGGTTACAGGGATAGGGAAAAGGGGTTGGGGTGAGTAGGATGGGTCAGTGCAGACCTGATGGACTGAATGCCCTGCGCTGCAGGGCTAGGGTGGTTTCTATAATAATACAGGCAATCTGTTGAGAATAATAGCACATCCTGGTAAGCAGAAACTTGTAACGTCAGGATAGAATTAAATTGAAGTGTTTAGATGGTTCACTCAGGACAAATCGATCCCACTGGTGGAGGGATCATTCTGAAACGATTAGCTAACGAAGCAAATGTATCAGGAGGAGAAGATTTCTTCACATGGCGAGGGGTGAGGGTCTGGAACGTGTTGTCCGAGAGCATGTGGGAGGCAGCTTCAATCAAGGTTCTCAGGAGGGAACTGGATCGTTGTCTGAAGAAGAGGAACATGCAAGGTTACAGGGAGAGGGGCAGGAGTGGCATTAGTTGTGTTGCTTGTTCAGAGAGCTAGCACAGATACTGCGGAGTGAACGGCCTCCTCCTGTGCTACAGCTGTCCTTGTCATAGAATCCCTACTGTGGGGAAACAGGCCCTTTGGCCCAACAAGTCTACACCGACCCTTGGTGCATCCCACCCAGACCCATCCCCCTCTAACCCACCTAAGTTACACGTCCCTGGACACTATGGGGCAATTTCCCATGGCCAATCCACCCTAACCTGGATATCTTTGGACTGTGGGAGGGAACCGGAGCACCTGGAGGAAACCCGCACAGATACGGGGAGAATGTGCAAACTCCACACAGACAGTTGCCCGAGGGTGGAATCAAACCTGGGTCCCTGGCGCTGTGAGGCAGCAGTGCTAACCGCTGAGCCACCATGATTCACTGTTCACTTGGGAGAGGTCTTGTTTTAACAGACTAGCCACTCGATTTCGGTGACTAACTCCAGTTTAATTTTTATTTTTCACAGTTTTATCTCTGGAAAATTCCTTACTGGGATTCAGCAGCTTATTCCAAATGATTGCGTATTACTGCATGAGCAGGTAAGAGAGCATTCAAAATGCCCACAGTTATATCACTGAAATGATAAGATTTCTCCTCGGAGGAACAGGAGATTGGGAGGATATTTGATCCAGGTGTACTGTGGAGAAAGGAGAATGAGGAATAATTGTCCCCGTTCACTGACGTTACAAAGACTTCAGGGACACAGATTTAAGGTTTTAAGAGGTACAGGAGGAAGATGAACGGGATGAATGATGTAAATCACAGTCTTATAGCTCTGCTGCACGGAATAAGGCCCTTCAGCCCATCCTACCTGCGCCTGCCAAAATGAGGAAGACTGTTCTTTGCACAGTGTGTGGTGATGACCTGGAACCTGTCGCTTATGAAGCTGGTCAAAGCGGAGACAGCGAATGGTTTCAAAAGGAAGTTGGATGGAACTCAACGTGTTGGGGGAGACAGAGGGAGAGAGCAGGGGAACGACTGGATCAATCTGCGCAGGGCTGGCATGTACTCGATGGGCCGAATGGCCTCAATGATCGACCTACCTCAAGAGGCCACCGAGAGTGTTGGGTGGGTGCTATGATTGGTACATCAGGTGACCAATGGTAAGGGAGTGAGGGCTGGGTTGGTTGGTGGTGCGAGGTCACATGATGAAAACCTCCAGGAATGGATCCAGTGAGAGTACTTTTTTATTCATTCACGGGATGAGGGCGTCACTGGCTAAGCCAGTATTTATTGCCCATCCCTAATTGCCCCAGAGGGCAGATAAGATTCAACCACATTGCTGTGGGACTGGAGTCACATGTAGGCCAAACCAGGTACGGATGGCAGTTTCCTTCCTGAAAGGACATTAGTGAACCAGTTGGGTTTTTCCAACAATCGACAATGGGCTCATAAAAACCAAAAGAACTGCGGATGCTGTAAATCAGGAACAAAAACAAAAACATTTCTGAAGAAGGGTCTAGGCCCGAAACGTCAGCCTTCCTGCTCCTCTGATGCTGCTTGGCCTGCTGTGTTCATCCAGCTCTGCACCTTGTCATCTCAGATTCTCCAGCATCTGCAGTTCCTACTATCTCTGACACAAAAACAGAAGTTGCTGGAAAAACTCAGCAGGTCTGGCAGCATCTGTGAAGGAGAAAACAGAGTTAACGTTTTGGGTCCGGTGACCCTTCCTCAGAACTGATGGTGGCTGGGAAAACATCAGCTCATGTTTATGTTGAATTATTTCACACTCAACTCTTTTTAGAATTACGGATCCCTGCACCAGGTGAGGTTCTGGCAAGGGGAGGCGATGGCCTAGTGGTATTATCGCTGGACTGTTAATCCAGAGACCACATAACGTTCTGGGGACCTGGGTTTGAATCCCGCCATGGCAGATGGTGGAATTTGAATCCAATAAATATCTGGAATTAAGAATCTAATGATGACCGTGAATCCATTGTCAATTGTTGAGGAAAGACCCACCTGGTTCACTAATGTCCTTTAGGGAAGGAAACTGCCATCCTTACCTGGTCTGGCCTACATGTGACTCCAGCAATATGATTGACTCTTAACTGCCATCTGGGCAATAAATGTTGACTGGTCAGTGACACCCTCATCCTGTGAATCAATAACGGGGGGGAAAGAAGGCCAATCCACCTCAGCTGGGCTGCCATCTTGAACCCTGCCCAAATAAATGTGGAATTGAAAGCTGCTCTTAGTGACCCTGACTGTGAAAGCCCAGCTGGTTCACTAATGCCCTTCAGGGGAAGGAAACCTGCCATCCTATCCTACCTCACCACCTATCCCTGGTGTTGCTAGGGATGGGACCGGCCCCGCTGCCGCTTGGGGCTCTGAGTAGTTGGACCATTCTGCATCACCCGTCCTTTTGTGGAGAAATTTGCAATTAAAGACACCTTTGACACCTCCAGTCCATCAGGAAGTGGTCAACGTGCTCAAGAACCTGCGGGACAAAGGAGTGGATGGATCCAGTCGTGTGGTTCCCTGAGCAGAGTACTGTCAAAGTCATTTGGCAGAAAGCCTCGTCGCTAGAATTTTCCAACAAGCACCAGGCCATCGCTTGGCTGGTGGTGCGAGGGGCACTACCCATGAGATCCGTACCACCACGCACTGCCCTCGAAGCAGCTGCTGGAGTGGGGGAGGGTTAAGACTGTCGCACATCTCCCTCTGCAGTGCGCCTTTGCAAAGGAAATCTGGAGACAGCTGCAGTGATTATTTTTTGTCGAAGTTCGACCTGAGCAGCTCTGTCATGCGGGACTCTATGGTCTATTCCTTGGGACACACACCGGGACAAACATAGAGTGCACCTGGAGGACCATCACCTCGGCGAAAGATGCTCTTTGGTCTGCCCCAGAATTGCTGGTCTTCCAGAGCAAGGAGCTGACCTCGACTGAGTGCCGCAGACTGGCACATTCCAAGGTCCAGGACTACGTGCTGAGGGACGCACTAAAGCTCGGGGCAGCTGCTACCAAGGTGCAGTGGGGAAAGGTCACCGTCTGAGATCTTTCAGCCCCAAAGTGCAATGGGAGCACGTTCAGTTATCAGACCCACCTGATGCCTCAAATACACGTAAATGGTATCTTGCGTAAGAAATGCCATGGGTTTGCTGGAACTGTAGGGAAAATCGAACTCCAATATCTATGGAACTGCTGTAGTGGCCACATCTGCATTTAGAGATGTTTTTTTAAATGAATGAAGCATATTTTTGAAATAAAGAAAATACACGTGACTCCAGACCCTCAGAGCTGTTGAGCTTTAAAGGTCCTCAGCAGTTGATGAGGAAGTCGCTTGTGCGTATCAAACTGCTGTGGGGATGAAGCCTTACAGTACAGAAAGTGGCCATTCAACATTCTATTTCTTTGGAAGAGCCACTTCCCTTCACAGAACATACAGCTGAACAACACAGAACAGGCCCTTCGGCCCACAGTGTTGTGCCGAACATGATGCCAAATTAAACTAATCCCTTTTCTGCCTGCCCTTGGACCACATCCTTCCATTCCTTGCCTATTCATGTGCGCATCTAATAGTCTCTTGAACACCCCTATTGTAGCCACCATTAACCCTGACAGTGCGTTCCAAAATCCTACTCCTCTGTGTAAAAAACTTGTCCCTCACATCTCCTTTGAATTTTCCCCCCTCTCACTTTAAATGCATGCCCCTTGTATTAGACATTTCAGCTTTGGGAAAAGGACTCTCACCGTCAACCCTATCCATGCATCTCATAATTTTATATAGACTTCTGTCAAGTTTTCCCTCAGCCTCTGCCGCTCCAGAAAAAAACAACCCAAGTTTTTCCAGCCTCCCCTTATAGCTCAGACCCTCTAATCCTGGTAAACCTCTTCTGCACCCTCTCCGAAGCCTCCACATCTTTCCTGTAAGGTGGTGACCAGATTATCACCTGCTTTTAACTCATCATCCTGCCCCCATTGAGGACTTCTCCTCTGAACATTCTGCTCTCCAGCCAGACACAGCGTTCCTACTCATTTAGAGAATAATTAATTGCATCTCTCTCTCTCTCTCTCTCTCTTGAACTTTTTATACAATGATCTCAGATGCTCTGCTATCAAGCCTCTCGAACTCATCAAAAACACTCGCCTGTGTTTTAGGAAATGACTGCGGCCAATTTTCTCAACGCAGGTCTCTCTCTCTCTCCCTTTTTCTCTCTCTTTCTCTCTCTCTATCACTTTCCCATCCCCAGCAGAAGCAGTGACGTAGAGATGGTGAGGAACCTCAAGATATGGGATATCGAACCACACCAATCTTCCTTAGGTCAAAGAGGCTTCAGAAAATAGGAAAAAAAAGGACCCTGTGCTTTACACGTTTGTAATTGCAAAATAGAAAACAGGAAGGTCAGGGTAAAAGAAGGAACTGTGAGAATTATCACTGTTTTGTTCTGTTCCCATGCTAACACTGTTCCATTTTATAGAGATGTCTTGCCCTTTCGACTCCAACTACCCACTGCCATCTTGCAGGCAACCAGCAAGGAGCAGTTGGAGAAGATCTCAGCGCTGGGCATGAGTGAGTTTTTCTGATGTTTCTCTTTTTATATTCACTTTGTTAATTTCCTTTCTCACAAGCCAATTTCCTGCTTTGTATATCCTCCCCATTACGCTCGCCTCCGCAGTCTCGTTATTGGAAAGAGTTTAGTTTCTTTTCCTTTCTCTTTCACACTCCTTTGCTCCCCTCTTTTCCCTCCTCCTCAGCCTTGTTTCCTTTATTGTCTTCCCCCCCTCTCCTTCCCTTGCCTTTCTCCATCACCCTCCTTCCTTCCCTCTGTCTCTCTTTCACTCCTTCCCTACCTTCCTCTTTATCTGCCATTCCCTCCCTTTTCACCTTCCTCTCTGTCTCCCTCTCCCTCTTCCCCCCTCCTTCCCTTCCCTCTTTCCATCCCTTCCTCCTTCCCTTCTCTCTTCTTCCCTCCCTTCTCACCTCCCTCTCTTTCTCCCCTCTCCCTCCATCTTCCCCCTATCCCTCCCTTCTTTCTCCTTCTCTCCCTTCTCACCTCCATCTCTTTCTCCCCTCAGCTCCCTCTTCCCCCCTTCCCTTCTCTCTCTCTCTTCATCCTTACTCTCTGTCTCTCTCTCTTTTCCACCCAATTCTCTCTCCATCCATCACCCCCTCCTTCCCCCACTCACCCCTTTCTCTCTCTCTCTCTCTTTTCTTTTGAGGTTAAACAGGTTGGGACTCTACTCACTGGAGTTTAGAAGAATGAGGGGTGATCTCCTTGTGTCCTATTGGATTCTTAAGGGGCTTGACAGGGTTAATGCTGAGGGGATGTTTTGCCTCATGGGAGGACCCAGGATCAGAGGGCACCAATTTCAGACTGACATGAGGAGGAATTTCTTCTCTCAGAGGGTTGAGTCTTTGGAACTCCTTGCCACAGAGATCTGTGGGGGCTGAGTCCTTGTGTATACTTAAGGCTGAGATAGATTCTTGATCAGTCGGGGAATCAAGCGTTATGGGGAAAGGGCAGGAAAGTGGATGTGAGGAATGTGGGAAAAGCTATGACTTATCGAATGACGGAGCTGGCTCAAGGGGCCAAATAGCCTCCTCCAGTTCCTATTCCTGATGGTTCTTTCCTCCTCCCTCTCCTTCCCCACTTCTCTCTCCTTCTCTCTCACTCCTTCCCTCCCCTCTCTCCTTTCCTCCCCTCTCTCTCCCTGCTCACACTCTCCTGGAAGGAAAAACAGATTCAACATTGACAGAAGCCATTGCTGCTGGAGTTCTCATTTTAAGGTACACAACGAGTCCAGGCCAGCCCCATCATTCACAAGTTTCACCTGCCTTCCAGATCTGCGTCAGTCTCCCCCTGTGCACCTCTCTCCGCGAGCCTTGCTGCCTGTGTGCTCTCCAGGATCTCGCTCTGGGACTTTCTTCCTCTGTCAGTCTGTACGCCTTTCTGATCGTGTCCATGTCTCTTTCTGTCCATCTCTCCGTGTATATCATTTTCGGACTGTCTCTGGACACGTCTCTGTCTGCCAGTCTTTTTCTCTCCGTGTTTGTCTCTCTGTGTGAGTCTCTCTCTCTCCATGATGTGGAGGTGCTGGGGGGTACAAAGTCAGAAGTCACATGACACCAGGTTATGGTCCAACAGGTTTATTCAAAATCACAAGCTTTCAGAGCGCTGCTCCTTCGTCAGGTAAAGTCAAGGACCTCAACCTACGAAGGAGCAGCGCTCTGAGAGTTTGTGATTTCGAATAAACCTGTTGGACCATAACCTGGTGTCCTGTGACTTCTGACTCTATCTCTGTGTACATCTCTCTGTTTGTAGTCTCTCTATCTCCATCTATGTCCCTCTGGCCATGTGTCTCCGTCTTTCTCAATCTGTCTGTGTACATCTCTCCTCATATCTTGCCACCTGAGCCTTACCAGGGAGTCACAGTTCGCTGTCCTGCGTCCTAAAGAATACCGTCTGCAATTCTGGTCTCCCTGCTATAGCAAGGCTGAAACTTGAAAGGGTTCAGAAGAGATTTACCAGGATGTTGCTGGGAGTGAAGGCTTTGAGTTACGAGGAGAGACTGCATGGGCTGGGACCTTTTTCACTGGAGCGTAGGAGGTTGAGTGGCGACCTTATAAAAGCTTATAAAATCATGAGGGATATTGATAATGTTAATGGTTAGATGTCTTTTCCCTACGATGGTGGATTCCAAGACCACATTTTTAAGGTGAGAGGAGAGAGAATTAAAAAAGACATGAGGGGCAAATTGTTTTACACAGAGAGTGGTTCGTCTGTGGAATGAACTTCCAGAGGAAGTGCTGGGTGTGGGTACAGTTACAACATATAAAATATATTTGGATAAGTACATGAATAGGAAGGTTTGGAGGGATATGGGCCGGGGCAGGCAGGTGGGAAAAAAACCAGAAGTTGCTGGAAAAGCTCAGCAGGTCTGGCAGCATCTGTGAAGTAAAATAAACAGAGTTAACGTTTTGGGTCCGGTGACCCTTCCTCAGAACTGATGGTAGCTGGGAAAACGTCAGTTTATATGCAGAAAATAGAATTGAATCGGCTCTATCCTATCATTTACTCCCTACCCCACCCCCCTCCCTATTTTCTGCACATAAACTGACGTTCTCCCAGCCACCATCAGTTCTGAGAGAGGGTCACCGGATCCAAAATGTTATTTTTTTTCTTCACAGATGCTGCCAGACCTGCTGAGCTTTTCCAGCAACTTCTGTTTTTGTTCCTGATTTACAGCATCCGCAGTTCTTTCGGGTTTTATTTAGCAGGCGGGTGGGACCAGATTAGTTTGGGATTACGGTCGGCACGGACTGGTTGGGCCGAAGGGTCTGTTTCCGTGCTGTGTGACCGTGACTGAGAAAGAAAACCATTGTGAAAGCAAAGTGAGCCATTAGAACATAGAACATAGAACAGTACAGGCCCTTCGGCCCACGATGTTGTGCCAACCTATTATCCTACTAAGATCAATCTACCCTGCATACCCTACATTTTACTATCCTCCGTGCCTATCCAAGAGTCGCTTAAAAGTCTCTAAAGTATCTGAGTCCGCTACCACTACCGGCAGCGCATTCCACACGCCCACCACTCTCTGTGTGAAGAACCTATCTCTGACATCTCCCCTATACCTTCCTCCAATTTCATTCTTTGAACCAGTCTCCTCTCTTGTCTCCATCCAGTGTTCTGGGAATCGCCATTTAACCAGAACCAAGATACGACATTCCCGGAAGCCAAGGGTGACGTGTTGGCTGTCAGTCCCACATCCAGCTTTGAGCTCCTGAAGAAGCAGCCCATTCCGATGTGCTCCATCCAAGTGATGGCCGAGAATGGAGCCCTTTTCTTCATCAACCCTCTGTTCCTGAAGGAGCATGGGGATGGATGGGTCACCAAGATCCCACTGCAGACTCACGCTTTCAAGCATTCGCGCCTGGCGACCAGGTGCAAGAAACCCGCAGGGGCCAGCCGTGAAGCAAGTCCCACTTCCCCCCGAAACCAGCAGGAGGCAGCGTTGGGAAATGCTGTGGAGAGGTCGGATTCTGGGAAGAGCCTGGAAGAAGAGGAAGCCTTCAAAGGTAACCAGTGTGGCGGCTCAGTGGTTAGCGCTGCTGCCTCATAGCGCCAGGGACCCAGGTTCGATTCCACCCTTGGGTGACTGTCTACATGCAGTTTGCACGTTCTCCCCGTGTCTGCATGGGTTTCCTCCGGGTACTCGGGTTTCCTCCCACATTCCAAAGATGTGCATGTTAGGGTGGATTGGCCATGGGAAATTACCCATAGTGTTCAGGGATGTGTAGATTAGGTGGGTTATAGGGGGATGGGTCTGGGTGGGATGCTCTGAGGGTTGGTGTGGACTTGTTGGGCCGAAGGGCCTGCTTCCACACTGTAGGAATTCTATGAGATACATTAATTTGTATCCCATTGATCAATTTGCTGACGTCAGTCCCAAGCCTTCAATTATTTTCTTTCTTTTATTCATGTGTGGGCCAGAATTTATTGCCCGTCCCTAACTGCCCCTTGACAAGATGGTGGTGGGCTGTTTCCTTAAACTGCTACAGTCCATATGCTGTGGGTGGACCACAATGTCTTTAAGGAGGGAATTCCAGGATTTTAATCCAGCGACACAGAAGGAGCAGCGACGTATTTCCAAGTCAGGATTTATTTCCGTATTAACACAAAAACCAAGAACTGCAGATGCGGGAAATCTGAAACGAAAATGGAAATTGCTGGAGAAACTCCGCGGGTCTGGCAGTGGTCAGTGGAAAGACCCTTCAGATGAAAGGTTAAATTTTAATTCAGCTTTCTCTCCACTGATGCTGCCAGACCCGCTGAGTTTCTCCAGCAATTGATGCTATTGTTGTCCAAATCTGTATTAATGACTAGGAAGCATGTAATCTCTGCAAATTTGCTGCCGATACAAAAACAGTTGGGAAGGCATGTTGTGACACGATGTAGAGAACCTCAAAAAGGGAATATGGATAGGTTGAGTGAGAGGGCACAAATGTGACCGGTGAAGTTTAATGTATGAAAATGTGAGGTCATGCACTTTGCTTGGAAAAATGAGAAGGTAGGCTATTATTTAAATGGAGTGGGACTCCAAAAAAATGTGCAGCGCACATGAAACACAAAATAGGAGAAGTGGGCCATTCAGCCCTTTGAGCCTGCTCTACCATTCAATAGGATCATGGCTGACCATCCAATTCAGTCCCCTGTCCCCTCTTTCTCCCCCATAACCTTTGACCCCTTTTAGCCCCAAGAACTATTACTGACTGATTGTGGTTGGTGGGGTGGGCCAAAGGGTATGGGGGTACGTGGAGCTGAGAACACACAGTCATGATCTGACTGAAGGGTGGAGTACCTGCAGGATCCCTTCTGAGCCACTCACCATCCTGACTTGGGAAATATTTTGCCGTTCCATCGGTGTCGCTGGGTTAAATCCCAGAATTCCCTCCCTAATGGCATTGTGGGTGTATCTATACCACACAGACTGCAGAAGCTCAAGATGGCAGCTCACCACTGATGCTCATTCTAAACCGTAGAGCCGGTTGGAGGCCAATTGGCATGGCAACGCATTGACTTCTGGCTCAGGGAATGTCTACCGTGCACGGACTTTGGAGGACCCCCACAACGGCAGCGACAGGGAGTTGGGGGAAGAATTAGAGGGAACGCAGCTCAAAACGGCCTTCTCAAGGGCGACTTGGGATGGCTGAGAAATGGGAGGCACGGGGCGTAGTGGTTATGCTGCGGGATTAGCCAGGGCCCCGGGCTAATGTTCTGAGGTCGTGGGTTCAAATCCCACTGCAGCAGGCAGTGAAGTTTAAATTAAATTGAAAATGTGAAATTAAAGCCAGTTTTTATGGTGCCCATCTATCTATTGTTGTCAAATATCCGTCTGGTTCACTAATGCCCTTTAGGGAAGGAAACTGCCATCCTTACCTGGTCTGGTCTGGCCTACACGTGACTCCAGACCCACGGCAATGTGGTTGACTATTAACTGCCCTCTGGGCAATTAGGGATGGGCAATAAATGCTGGCCTGGCCAGCGATGCCCACATCCCGTGAACAGAAGAGAAAAAGCTGCCCCAACAGCAATCTGTGAATGAACGAAAAAGAACAAGCTCGAGGCGCTCTCTCCTGCTTAAAATTTGTGCGCTCACACGGTCTAATTAATTCCCTTCTCCCTTGTCTATTGATCTAAATTCCCCTTAGGTGCTCTGCTCTCCACAACCACCGTCTCCGGGAGGTCCACATTCTCATTGCTCCCTGGGCAAAGAAACTCTTTCTCAGTTCCTCATTTGGTTTATCTGTGACCACAGCCCCTTGCGGTCCTGGTTACTTCCACCAAAACAAAATAGAAGTCCCTCCCATCCCTATCGATACTGTATAATGCATTGGTTTGGCCACAGAGAGAGTACTGTGTGCAGTCCCGGAATCCACCTTAAAGGAGGGATGTGATAGCACTGGAGAGGGTGCAGAGGGGATTTGCCAGAATGTTGGCTGGGCTGGAGAGTTTTAGTTATGATAAGAGATTGGACAATCTGGAATTGTTTTCCTCAGAGCAGAGGGGGGACATGTTTTTTTTTATTCATTTGTTGGACGAGGGTGACTCTGGCTGGGTCAGCGTGTATTACCCATCCCTAACTGCCCCTTGAGAAGGTGGGGGTGAGCTGCCTTCCTCAACCGCTGCCGTCCACATGCTGTAGGGACCCACAATGCCCTTACGGAGGAAATTCCCAGGATTTTGACACTGAAGGAACGGCGATATATTTCCAACTCAGGATGGTGAGGGGCTCGGAGGGGAACTTGCAGGGAGTGGTGTCCCCATATATCTGGTGCCCTTGTCCTTCTAGATGGAAGTGTTCGTGGGTTTGGAAGGTGCAGCCTGAGGATCTTTGGTGAATTTCTGCAGTGCATCTTGTAGATGGTACACACTGCTGATTGAGATGTATAAAATTATGAGGGGCATATGTAGCGTAGAGAGGAAAAATGTTTTCCCCTTGGTGCAGGGATCAATGACCAGGGGACATGGATTTAAAGGAAAGGGGCAGGAGGTTTGGGTGGCAATGTGAGGAAAAAATTTTTACACCAGAGGGTGGTGGGAGTCTGGAACTCTCTGCCTGTAAAGGCTATAGAGGCAGAAACCCTTATAACACTGAAGTAACGTTTAGATATGCTCTTGCGCTGCCAAGGCTATGGGCCAAGTGCTGGAAAATGGGGATTACAATAGTTAGGGGCCTGTTTCTGACCGGTGCGAACTCAATCCACCGAAAGGCCTTTTGCAATGCTGTAGATGACGGCCTATTATCACTGGACTGTTAATCCAGAGACCCAGGTGATGTTCTGGTGACAAAAAAACAGAAGCTGCTGGAAAAGCCCAGCAGGTCTGGCAGCATCCGTGAAGAAAAAAATCAGAGTTAATGTTTCGGGTCCAGTGACCCTTCCTCAGAACTGACGGTAGCTGGGAAAA